GGTCGACCGCGATACCTGCAGTTTGTTTTTCTTCTGTTTTGAGTTGGTTTCGGATTTCTAAACCCATATCTGTTTTTCCCTGATATATATATATGAGTTTTTCAAGATTTTCTCAGTTTTTCTAAGAACCCTAACAGCCACCAAAACCCCCCTAAACCCTAGTTTGATTTCTTGGAGAAGATTGAAGGTTTTCAAGTGGATTTTCGGGTGATTCTTGGCTTTTGGAGTGGAGATCTTTTTCAACCTTGCTTCTAACACGTTTTCCTGCAACCAAAGGTGAGTATCATCTCTGCTAATCCCCCTCCTAGTTTTTAAAACGTTTTTAAAGAGTTTTAAACATGTTTTGTAGAGCCTAAATGACTAGTTTATGAATAAAGTCAACTTCTTTTGTATTATATGTAAAGAGACTAGGTCTTTCTATGCTAAAAAGGTTGAGAACGATTTTTACAGAAGTATTTAAGACCTAAAGATGATTTTAAAACGTGGTTAATCTGAAGAAAGAAGTTTGATTCATTGTTTTGATCTTTTATGCATGTTTTAGGGTTTTGAATACAAATCAAATACATAAAATTATGTTTATAATTGTTGAGTTGTTTTCAGATGTTCATATCTGCTCTGACATGGTTGCATACAAATTTTATGAAGATTTAGACATGTTTACATCGAGAAAACACGACATGAACACGACACACACACAACCAGTTTGAAAAACTAGAAACAGGGTTCACGGTCGACCGCCACGGTCGACCGCGTGCAGGACAGAGACCTGGGTAGTCTCTTGACCCGTCGCGATCGACCGCCACGGTCGACCGCCAGTCTGCTTTGGCTGTGCATGTTTGTTTGGCTTGGTTTTAGTTTGTCGAGTAGATCTCATGACCTTATGATGATAGACTATGATGTTAGTAATTGTTTAACACCTGGGATGATGGTGAACTTCAGAAGAGGACACGCACACCGAGATTTGTGCACATATGCTAGATTGTGTTAGATTGACACACTTTTGACATGAGATAAATTGCTAAACACATATTGAATAATGTTGTTCTATATGTATCCGAAAATAAGGAGATGAAACCTATTTGCCGCAGAACGATTGAGTAAAAGGATTACAAAAGTATCGTTATTACACGTATCCGGAATAGGGAGATAATAAAACCTATTGTCGCAGAGCGATTGAGTAAGAGCATTACAAAAGTATCGCTATAGCACAAGATGATGATCAGTTATAAGTTTTACTTTCATGATAGACTACCCGTGAGTAGGGTATTTACTTTAAGATTTTGGCACACCCGTTATGGACGGCAGTTATATTTCGTTTTGTTTTGGTTGGCATCCTCTTATATTAGAGCAGGCTACTCGGATGCACTTCGAGATGAGATATTTATTCTTTATGTTGGAGATTGGAGTATGTTTTCCTTGACTATTTGTTCATTCATGAAGAGCTATATGAATGATTTGATATACGTATATACTGACTCTATTTTCTATATATATACTCCTACCCCTTTCCCTGGGGAGAGGTAGTGATGATCTCGCTAGCGCTTTGACGCTCGTTGTTTCCCCTCTTTCAGGCAGCGAGTCTGGCACACGGAGAGTCGCAGGTTGATGGGACATCTTAGTTGTACGTTTAGCTATTTATTATATTTTATAGTTATTGCAGAACTCCGCATATAGTTGATTATTTTTTAGACTCTAGATTGGTATTTTATTTTAGAGTTGAGAACTCTTGTGAGACTTTGTTTATTTTACTCATTGTATTTAAGACTCAGTTCAGACTCAGAGATATATCTATTTCATTCCAGTTAGGCTCATTATTAATATCTCTTATGCTTCTTCTGTGTATTTTCGGTGTTGTTCTATTTCTAGTTTTGCATGTCTGTACCTTCATCTATTTATTGTTTTCACTAGAGAGATAACGATTGTGATGATGAAACATGTCGTAGCATGGTGTTTGGTGCTTAGCAAGTTTGACAATCCAGGTTTCACCTGGGACTGCAGCCTTGTGTGAATCCTGGGGCGTCACAGTTGGTATCAGAGCTCTAGTTCCAATATCCTTAGGATCATTCCTGTGTCATATTGTAGAGTTTAGGATAGAGTTTCCTAGGGATCATGTATACAGTCCGCTAGGAATCCTTAGCATGAGTGAGGACGTACTATATATGTACACGAAAAATATAATATATTTTTTATGATGATCTATTTGCTTTGAATAATAAAGCATGATATGAGATATAGGTGATATGATTTATTTATTTATATATGTTATATGCTTCATGCTTGAGATCCAATCTACTGCGTAATAAGCTCTATTTTGGAATTATAGATGTTCGAAAGAGGTCGTGGACGCCGAATTTCTCGTGCTCAGGGAGTTGGGCAGGAAGATAGGGAGCTCGAGCCATAGCAGGCTCCGCAGTACCTAGTGGATCTCATAGCACCGTATGGCGGCTCGTATGGCGGCTATTAAGGAGCAAATAGCGACCCAGGTTCGTCAAGAGCCTTCCGTTCATGAAGAGGCACCCATTCAGGAGTCATCTATTCGGGAGGAAATACAAGAGAGGGCACCAGTGGTCCCACCGACACCATCAGTTAAGGACGGAGCAACTGATCAGGAGGCTTGGCTTCGTTTAGTTGAAAGGTATCAGAAGTTGAAAGCACCAAAGTTCCACAATTCGACGGATTCCATTGCTGCACACAAGTGGAAAGATGATGTGAGTAACATCTTGGATATGCTAAATGTTAATTCGGTGCAGAAGCAGAGGCTAGCGACTTTCAGCCTCAAGGGAGATGCAGGAGTATGGTATCGACTTCGCTTCACCCCAGAGCAGAGGATGACGGTTTCGTGGGAGACCTTTATATATCTTTTTGATGAGCAGTATATTTCGGCTGCAGCAAAAGCCAGAAAAGAGTTAGAGCTGGCTTGTCTAGAGCAGGGGTATATGTCTATCATGGACTTTGAGAGTAAGTTCATGTCATTGCTTAGATTCACCGGCATGTGGCACACAGAGGAGCGACGGGCTCAGATGTTCCTGATAGGACTTCGTCCAGGGTTACGCCAGTATATAGTATCTCAAAGGTTTCGTTCAGTGCGAGAGGTGGCAGATGCTGCCATGGCTCAGGAGACAGATACAGCCTTATTCATCAAGGGTAAGGACAACGGTAAGTCAGGACAGTCCGAGAACAAAGGAAAGGGTAAGAGACCATTTGGAGGCTCAGGAGGACCCCACCAGCAGGATAAGGGTCCGCATCAGGAGGGTCCCCATAAGAAAGGCCATCAGTAGGACCAAAGAGTGCAGCAGCAGCGCCGATTCCAGGGAGCTTGTTACAATTGTAATAAGATTGGGCACCGAGCGGCCAAGTGCCGCAGCGCACCCCCAGCAGGCCAGCAGGGTAGGACACAGCAGCAGCAGTAGAACCGCACTCAGGGACACAGTCAGGGTCAGCAGCTGAGGATTGAGGCACCTCCAGTAGTCCCAAGGATTGAGGGACAAGTTCGAGCAGTTCAGGAGACCTAGCAGAGGCAAATGGCACTATTCACTCCAGGTGATGCAGAGCAGCAGACCGGTAGAGTGTATGTAGTGGTTCCTCGCGATCATGGCACGACCGAAGCTGTGGTGGAAGGTACATTCCGTGTGAATTTCTTTCCAGCACGTATTCTTTTTGATTCTGGCGCTTCGCATTCTTTTATCTCTTATGATTTTTTGATTAGACTTCGGCTTGTAGCTTAGCCGTTAGATTTCCCATTATCTGTATCTACTCCGTTGGGAGAGATGTCTCTGTTAGAGAGTGTTTGTAGGAGATGCATCATCAGCTTGGATGATTCTGAGTTCGCGATTGATTTGATCGTGTTGCATATGTTTGAATTTGATATGATCCTTGGTATGGATAAGCTATCTTCCTACCATGTGAGTATCGACTGTTTTGCGAAAACAGTTAGTTTGAGAGCATATGATGGATCAGAGTTAGTGGTAGCTACCTCCGGAGACAACCAGTTTGCGGAGTCATTTCTGGCGTACGTAGAGGAGGTGATATTATGGGATCGGAGCGCAGATTTGAGTGAGATGCGAGTAGTCTCAGATTACCAGGATGTTTTCCAGGACATACCAGGGTTACCTCCAGTGAGAGAGGTCGAGTTTTGCATAGAGTTGTAGCCAGGCACCACACCGATTTCCCGATCTCCTTATCGTATGGAGCCTGCTGAGATGAGGAAGCTACAGATCCAGATCGATGAGTTGTTGTCTCAGGGCTACATTCAACGGAGTCATTCTCCGTGGGAAGCATCGGTCCTTTTTGTGAAGAAGAAGGACGGGAGTATGTGATTATGTATAGATTATTGCGAGTTGAACAAGGTCACTATCTGTAACCAGTACCCATTACCAAGGATCGATGACTTGTTCGACCAGTTATAGGGAGCACAGTGTTTCTCGAAGATAGATCTTCACTCTGGTTATCATCAGTTGCGAGTTCGGGAGATGGATATTCCCAAGACCGCTTTCTTGACTCGATATGGGTCTTTTGAGTTTCTTGTCATATTGTTTGGGCTGACCAATGCACCTGCAGTATTTATGGATTTGATGAATCGGATTTTTTGTCCTTACTTAGACCAGTTTGTGATAGTCTTCATCGACGATATTCTTATCTACTCGAGGTCGGAGGCAGAGCACGAGCAGCATTTGGGGTTAGCATTGCAGATATTGAGAGAGCACCAGTTGTATGCTAAGTTTAGCAAGTGTGAATTCTGGTTATCAGAGGTCAGATTTTTAGGTCAAGTTATTAGCCGAGAGGGCATTACAGTGGATCCGGCTAAGGTAGAAGTCGTATTTGATTGGGATCTTTTGTTTGTGGAAAAATTTGCAGTAAAAGAAATAAAAGAAAAATTAATTTGTATTCCTTTAATCTCAGTTACAATTGGATTTTCGATTACAAAAGAGAAGAGAATGATCGGGATTCTCTCCTTTGTTTAATTCTGGGTTCTTCTTGGTAGCGGTGAGATGCCTCCCTCGATTGTTTGCGTCGAGTTTGCTTCTCGTTGACGATCCGAATATCTATACTCACTGGAACAACTGTCTTGTCTGGTTGATAACTCTTGACGAGTTTTGTGATTCAGAACAAGCAACAAACTCTAATGATAGAGTTGTTGGAACCGAAAATAATTCGGTTAATAAGCCAAATATCAACGGTTTAGAGTTCCTCTGTTTGTGGATTTCCCAGACTGTGTAAGGAGTCAATCCTCCTTTTTCTGATTCTGGAAGATCTGATCGAAAGGTCTTCTCCACGAAAATCCACCCCTTGATCTGATTATCAAAAATCCGATCTTTAACTCTGTTGAGTTTGTCGTTATTTATAGGGGATTAAGGGGTGTAACCCCCACCGAGCCACCTGGTGGCTGAGCCACCAGGCAGATCTGGGCCCAGATCTGGGCCCAGATCCACTTAGAGAAGCCTATAAATAGACCTCTATGGCTCATTTGTCAATGGTTGTAACTTTTGGAGCCGAAACTCTGCCGGATTGAGAACTGAATCTTGGAGTTTTGAAGCTTTGAAGACTTGGACATCATCAGATCTGGTTCTTAGCGAGCATCCATGTCAGAAAAGGCAGGAGTTCGAGAGAGGAAGATCAGATCTGAGATCCACACGGTAATACTCCGGATCAAAACTTGGTTTTTGATCCCGAGAAGGTTATTATTTCCTTGGTGAAATAGTACCCCCGGCAGTTATTTTCTTCGTGAGATAACACCCGTTATACCATGTAGATCCGACCGGATCTAGATCACGCGGTAGTCCACGGATTAACCCTGGCGTAGGCGAAGAACTCACAAAGGCGAGTGACCGCAAAACAGGAGCTCGTGATTCGTTCGACAAACAAGGAAGATTGTAACTTTTTTCTTTTTTTTTTGATCTCGTTGTAACCGGATCTTATAAAAAGACCGGATCTTTCTGTAACCGATAAACTGTTACCAAAGAGTGCAATGACTTCAATGAAAGCAACAAATTTTCCCACGAACATATTCGTGTATTCAACACTTTCATGGTTAGAGTCTGGATATAATGCTTAGAATTTTGATCTGTCAATCCTTAACAGATTGTCAAACCCCTTCGTGTTAAGTCCTTATCACTTAACACCAAGAACCCCTACTGAGTGATTTGTACAAGTCAACACTCTCACTGTGATTTGTACTCCCACTCCTACTGTCCACTTGGTCAAACCTTCCTACGGTTAGGACCATAGTCAAAATCCCCTCTCGATTCCTTCAATGAATGAGAGGTCTACAAATCGAGTGATCAAACATATAAAAGTTAGGGTCATCTCACACTCCTACTCTCACTTGGTCAAATCTTCCTACAGTTAGGACCACGACCAAAATCCCCTCTCGATTCCTTCCATGAACGAGAGGTCCACTTTCAAATCGAGTGATCAAACCTTCCTACAGTTAGGATCACCTCAAACTCCCGTTTGGTCAAACCCTTCTACAGTAAGGACCAAAACCACAATTCACTCTTGATAAACGAGAAATTCATCTTTAGTTTGATAATCAAACCTTCCGACAGTTAGGATTATCCGAATCTTTTTTGATTCTCGGAGTGGAGATCCCACTCTTAGTTTCACCTTTCCAGACTCTTGAAGTAGAGATCCCACTTTGAGTTTCCTTTTATGACAGGAGATAGAATATAAAATTCTTCCTCTTCATCTTTGGTAGATAGAATATAAAATTCTTCCTCTCCCGCATCGGGTTCGACTTTGCCCCAGGAGAAGACACCACTTTTTCAAACTCCAAAAATCCAGGCCTCACATGCCCGAGGAATTTTATCCCGAATCCTGAGTAGGGATAAGTCAACGCCTAACACGCGTTGCCGGTTAGTTCTTAACCGTAAAAAGAACAAAAGCCCACATATTCGACATTGTGGCAGGTTGTTATTCATAACGCCAAAATCCGTGCTTCACACGTACGGGGAATTTTATCCCAAAGCCTAAGTAGGGATAAGTCAGCGCCTAACACGCGTCACCAGGTAGTCTAGTCCCGTAAGAAAGACGAAGTCTACGTATTCAATATTGTAGCACTAAGAGAGTTAACTCTCTTAGCACAACGTCACATGCGGAACGGACTTAAACAATCCGCACGCAAGCCCGATTCAAACGGTAATCGGTAAAGGCACGTCAAATCCGTTGAAGGCTGAGGATTTTCCAAAAATCCTAAGTCTACGTCTGATACACGTTGCTGTTTAGTCTTTTCACAGGAGAAAGACGAAGTCTAGGTATTCAATATCGTAGCACTAAAAGAGTTCACTCTTTTAGCATAACGTTACATGCTGAACGGACTTAAATAATTCGCATGCTAGCCCGACTCAAACGGTAGTCGGTAAAGGTTTATCAAACCCGTTGATGGCTGAGGATTTGCCAAAAATCCTACATATGCGAAAGTCACTGACGCACCACCCCCATTAGTTGGTCTCGTGACTTGGACATCTAACAAATTTAGGATAAGATCCACACGTGCAGATGAATCAACTTTAATAGTTGGTCCTACAGCCTAATATTTGGGACCGCCATGCTCCAACGTCTTAAGAGCTTAAACTGTGTAGACTCCAGCAAACATGTGAGTATAAACTATGTTAACGCCGGTCAACGCATTACAGCAAAGATGGATGCCGGTCAACGTATCAGCATTCTCACCAAAATAAGGCGAACGATGATTTCAGAGAGTTCAATCGCATTCAGATATGAATTTCTGACGAAGATGATCAGTTCAAAGTCAACTCAACGGCACGAGCTAAGTTCAGAAACTTACACATCAACTTCAATTCAAGATTTTGGCAACGGTCAAACGATAAACACAGTACCGGAAGAACTTCATCTATTCGACAAAACACTGAATAGACTAAAGGCTGAAGGATTCAAGAATTGAAGCAGTTCACAGGACCCTCTACGAGATCGAGGAAAGGGCCTATCCTATCCAAAGCATTCCAGACTCCCCTATAAAAGAACGAGTCTGAAATTCTTTGGAGGGGGTATTTGTAGGCGTCAAAAATTGCCTATAGGTCCCCGATCACAGCTCGAGACGGAGAGAAGACGACGAATGTTGTTATCTGAGTCTAAGCGGATTATCTGACACCGACAAGCGCCTGAAGCAAAACGATGAATCAAGTGACCTACGCGCTCGACAGTCAGCTCGCACCCGCCAATCAGCTCGCGTGTGTCAATCAACATGCGCGCATCAATCAGTTCATACGTGTCGATCAACACACGCGTGACAGTCAGTTCGTGCACGTCGGTCAACACACGCACGTTAATCAGTTTGCACGCGTCGGTCAACACGCGCGCGTCAACAAATTCGTGCGCATGCGTCAATCAACACGCGTGCGTCAATCAACACACGTTCGACGGTCGGTTCCGTAACAAAGCGTACAAGTCAACAAGACGATCAATTACTCAAAACGGTGGAAAATACAAGTCCCGGAAAGACCAGAAAACACCAGAGCTCAGCAAAACATCAAAACACTGCGCCGCGTCCGCGCGGGTCAGACCGCGTCCACGCGGGTCGGCCAAGTCCGACCCGTGGTGGCGCGGGTCGGACAAAGCCGACAAGCCGACCCGTGCCAGCGCGGGTCAGACTTGCCCCCGCGCGCTGTTTCGTCCCCTGTTCGGTTTTTTGACGGTTTTCTGGGGATTTATCTGTTCCAGGAGGTCCTAACTGACTTGATATCATCCCCAAACGTGGTTAGGTGGTTATTGACTAAAGATAAGGCCAAATCACTCATTCTCATCCACAAACCCGCATCCGGAGCCCTATAAATACAAGCCTAGGGCCTCCTTTCAGAGGGGGGATCAATTATCAAGAGGAGGAGGTGCTGCCGGATTGTGGAGTCAAAGGAGCACGAATTTCAGTGAGGGTTGACAGATCTTGGTGAGTTCTTCGGCATAAAGAAGGAGAGTTTAAGAGATCCGACACCCGTTCCCGTCCGTTCCTCGAGATTAGGCTTGGTCTTAATCTCGAGAAGAGATACTGATTTTGCTTGGTCGATCTCAGCGCTTCAAATCAAATACTTCCTCAGTGAAGGTGAAGCTCTGCCGAATTTTCTATCAACCGGATCCAGATCAAAGGCGGTCCACGGATAAACCCCGACACAGACAAAGATCCCACGCAAGCAGAAGA